AAGTTGCCAGCATTGAGCTTTCTTGTTCCCGGGTTTGTTACAGTGCCAGCAAAGTCCCTCAAACCTCTCTGAAAGCTGACCTTTTCTGGCCTTGAATCCAGATGTCTGTACCAACCTCGGTACCTCTGTGCTGGACTTAACGTAGGATTTAAATTCGAGAGCTTTGGCCATTGCATCCTGCATGGTAGTGGGGTGTGCTTGCTTCACTTGTATCTTAAGTTGTGGACTGTCCAAGGCATCTACGAACTGATCCCTCAGCAACAACTTGAAGAGATCGGGTGGTGGAGTTGGGTAGGCCTTGTATGCCATGCTTTCCAAGTCCTGTGCCAGCTCTTGCAGGCTCTCCCCTTTAGCACGGGCTCTCGTCCTAAACCTAGCCCTGTTGACTTCTGACTAATTTTGGGTTCCGTACCTGAGTTCTAGAGCTGCCAGTGCTCTATAGTTGTGTCTATCATCTGCTGATAACTGTCCAAGTATTTCCAGTGGTTGTCCCTTCAAGCTCATTGCCAGATATACAGCTTTCTGCTCCTCTGTCCATCCATTCATCTCTGCCAGTAGCTCAAATTGTGCTCTATATGCTTCCCACAGTGCTTTCCCATCGTATTCCTGTGGCTTCCTTCATACTGGGTCACTCCTATTACTGACATTCATATCTGGGATGTGACTTCTAACAGGACTGAAGATGTCTGCATTAAGGTTTAGCTGCGGGCTCTGGAAGGGGGCTTGCCATTGTTTGGGGTTGATTAAGTCGATGGTTAATGTATCCTCCTTGTGTAAAAGACAATAAATCGTCCTTTAATGTATCTAATTCGCTTTTAAATTTACTAATGTTTTCCATTTGTACTTCTTGCCACTGTTGTTGACTTTCCTATAGTTGCGAAAGTCTCCAACAGTTGCAGGAAAGTCAGCACATATCCTCTGTCGTGATTAATTTGTGAACTAAATATCAAAATAAGTATGAATATATTTATTTCACCCAATATTTCATCTCTACAGCTTCTTCAGGAGTGACATACAACTTACATTGCTAAACTCACAGTGCATAACAGCCTATGCCCTTTGAAATGTATTCTATAGACAAATGGAGAGTATGGAATAAGGTCATACAGATAATATTGCTTACTTTAAACTAAAATAAAAATATACAGTTAATATCATTGTCTATAGACAAATGAAAAGTATGGAACAAGGTCACATAGATAATACTGTTTAAATTAAACTAAAACAAAATACATAGTAATATCAATGTCTAATGATATGAACAGAGGTGTGTTACCTAAAAGTATGGTGAAAATCATTTGTATATTGATGCAGAAAATGATACAGGACATAAAATAAACAAATGTAAAAATAAAAACAATATGATTTAATTGAAAAATGAGGTTAACTGAGGGTTAAAAAAGACCTATTACCTGTATTATGATTAATTTGTGAATTAAATTTCAAAGTAAGTAAAACTTCTATATTTATGGTCAAGAAAGCCAATAGCTGTAGCATGGTTTTCAATTTGTAAAGGTTCAGTCAAATTTTTATGTACCATGTTCTTCCTCATAGTGGTCTACTATCATACTAGTACCTTTGTTGAGTAGAATTAGGGCATTCACATGTTCAGCAAATCTGTCATATAATGCACAAGAAGTTTCTGTCAGGTTTTTATGTATAATATGGATGGGCTAGATTTTTTTACAGTGGGTATCTATGACTTCTTGGTAATATATTTCAACAATAAACAAACAGCTCAGTCTATTTTTAAAAATAATATATTAAAACAAGTCAAATATATATAAAAATGTTTGTTACACTCTTGGTTACACAAGAGCTTTAAATAACTATACCTTTTTCGTCAGATTTCACACAGGCTAGTTCAGTCACTTTAGAATACAATTTGATAAGTTGAATTATTCTTCCTCCTCTGTTATTACAATACAGTCTGTAATAATTTCACTATAAAATCATCACGATAACTGTTGGCTACCACAGTTGTATACAGAGCTTTAAATAATTGTCCCTTTTTTTATCAAAGTCCACACAGACTGATTCACTTACTTTAGAACACAATGGACAAGACAAATTTTTCTTATCTACTCTGTTATTGCAAAACAGTCTATGATAATTTCACTTTAGCAATTGCCACTATACCCTTTTTATAGCTAAACTCACAATCAAGTAGTTTAGATCTATCTAATTACATTTTGGGCGCATATTTATAACCTGACAAAGGTATCAAATGTTCCACAAACTAGGAGATATTATGATGCAATAATGCTCAATGAAAACAATTATATGGTTCTAGTAACATGACACAATAATATAACAATCACCAATTCATAATTAGTGAACTACACAATTTATGATTCATCAACAGTTATGTAAACAAACCTGCTATAAACTATTGCTTCTAAAAATAATTAAGTTTAACATTCACGTTTGATAAACCACCTAAATCTTAACACTTGCATGTATAATTTGTTTGTTTTAATTTATGCACAAAGCTATACAATGAGCTATCTATGTAAAATGGAAGGCAAAGTAACATATATACTGTTATGACAGCGTAAGTCACGTGATGCTAATAGCGTGCATGAAGCCCGAGTTTAATTCGAGATGCCCTCTTCTTTAGTATATAAGCCTGGCAGCGAAAGCCAGCGGAATAATATAAAGTGTGTGTTTTGTACTCGTCGAGATGAAATTTATCAAGATTGTGAATCGATGTGATTTATAGTGTGTATTATAAAAGTTGTTAATTTTGAAGTGACGAGAAACGTACTGACTGTGGAATTACTGTGTACTAAAAGTTTGCATCGAGAAAGAATAAACTGGTTTAATCAAGAAAGGACTTGTATGGTTGAAGTTCCTCGGAAAGAATTTCTACTGGAAACAAACAAGCAGATACGTAACAATATATATATATTTGTTACTTTACCTTACATTTTGTATAGCCTGTAAATGTGTGTGTGTATATATACATGCACACATGTTATATACAACACAGGTTCATGAAGTTAGTGTATCATTTTCTAATATATGCATGAACACTATAGAAAAAATTATAGCAACTTTTTTTGTTACAAAATGTTGGAGATGTGTATTTTCTCTTTGGCCAAGTTAAAGAGCTGATTTTGAAAACTAAAAACTATGGAGACAACTTGCTGAGGAAGAGAATACTCCACCTGTCCCAATTGAAATAAGGATTACATTATTTACATAAAGCAATTCATAGTTAATGGATTCTTTGATAAGAAGCCTTGTAAAATGCTCATTGACACTGGTTCTTCAACTAACATCATTCACTCCAATCTGATAATAAATGCTGGGAATGCGCTAACAGAGATGAAACCAGAAGATGGATATATGCAAATAGCAGATAGTCATAAAGTTCCAACAAGATGAAAGTTCGAAGTGGGTATTTCTCTGCATAACATGATATGTGGGTATTGACATTGAGGAAGAGTGTATATTAGAAATAGATTTTTTATGGAACTTTAGTACACAAATATGTATCAGAGATGGGTTCACCCCGATCCAGCGAGGGCAGGCACATGGCTAAAGTGGTATGTGTTTCTAATCATTGGCATGTGCAACATATATCCATACAAAAATTAGAAAAAAGCTAGTATGTAATATTCAAACATCTTATGCATTTCCTAACTCCTTTATTAATGTGTAGACTGATTTTTATGCATACATAATATGTTTAGGTTCTGATATAGAAAATGGATTAAGGGAACAACTAAGTTCTTATTAACCTAGTTAATATGTAATTGGCTCAATTTATTACAACATCACAAAACTTTATAGCAAGATATATGGCTGAAAGTTTATATCTGCTGGATTCACACAGACAGTATTCTTTTTTGGTGGCAAGTCGATGTTTACTCAAAGGCATACCTTGTCTTTGCTCCGAGTTAAAACTGGTTTCTAGTTACAGTAGAACCATATATGTCTAGATCAGTCTGACCTTTGTTTTGTTTGAGTATATAAGACTAGATTCTCTCATTTATAGATAGATTTTTATAGAATATTATTACTGATAATAAAAAGAGATAAAACTACTCCTAGAAAGATAGAATATGAATTAGAACCCCTTTCTTGCTCTAGTGAAGGACACATTTACACTTTTATCTCTTGTTATTATGAGAATAAAGATTATGATTATGTAACATTTTATGTATAGTCTCTTTCTTGAAAGTCAGACTCATTTTAAGGCACAGAAATTAAGACACCAACTTCATTATACAATATTTAGCGATCTTCCTGTTATTCTATGGTTACTACCTATTTTCATTTTAAGCAAAATCAGTGAATATGAGAAAAATCACAAATACAACTACTAGGGATATATTCTAAACTAGTTATTAAAATGCAAAATTCATGATAATTTCCATCATAAAGTAACGTGAATATAAGATTAAATTTACTTCAAACAGTTTCATACTGTTACGACAGTGGAAGTCACGAGACACTGGTAACACGTGATGAGTTTCTAGAAGATTCACGAAAAGACGAGATGTACGCTTTTATAATATATATAAGACAGCCAAGAAGTGACGGCAACAATGGAATTTAATTGCAGACAGAGATAGAGACGGACAATTGAGTCAAGCGCGGTAAAGTGTGTGAATCGTTTGTTGTGAATTATAGCATTTGTTTAAGTTAAAGCGTGACTGTGGAAATTAAGTGTATTGCAAAGTTGTATTGAGAAAGAATAAACTAGTTTTATTTAAGAAAGGACTTGTATCGCTAAAGTTTCTTCAGAAAGAATTTTTACAGAAAATTAACAAATGAACAGAGACATAACAAATTGGTGTCAGAGAGTGGGACGAAAAAAAAAAGGAAACAAGAAGCAGCAAATCAAACTACAGCTTAGCAGATTTGATGGCAGCAATACAGAAGCAGCAAAAGAAACAAGAAAAGAAATAAGAAGAGAGATTACAGCAGCTGTTGGAGGAAAAAGAAAAGAAACAAGAAGAGAAATTACAGCAGTTGTTGGAGGAAAAGAAAAGAAACAAGAAGAGAGATTACAGCAGTGGCAACTAAAACAAGAAAGGAAACAGGAAAATTGTAATCACAGGTATTTTTTTAACCTCAGTTAGCTTCACTTTTCAATTAAATAATGTTTTCTTTTTTAATTATTTTTTTAAATTTGTTTATTTTATGTTCTGTATCTTTCAACATTATCAGTTCCCTAAACAATCTTAAAAACCTCAGTCATATTCCCTTTAACTCTTCTTATTTAAAGAAAAAACAATTTCAGAGATCTTAATCTGTCCTAGTCGCCCTTTTCTGTACTCTTTCCAACAACACAATGACCTTCCTAAAATCTTAAGGTAAAGGCACACCAATACTGTTGAGACAAATTTTCTGTTAATTGTAGGTATTAATAAATCATATTATAGAGTGCTGACTGGAGTAATTTGGAGATTTTGTATGATGAAAAATTTCAAAACAAGATTATATTTATTTCACTCATTGTTTCATTTCCACAACTTCTTCAGGAGTGACATACTATTACACTACTATACTCACAATGCATGACAATTTTTTAGTTAGCTCTATAGAGAAATGGAAAGTATGTAACAAGGTTATGCAGATATTATTGCTTATATAAAACAAAAACGGACAGTAATATCAATGTCTAATGATGTGAACGTAGGTGTAAAGTCTAAAATTATAGCGCAAATCATTTTCAAATTCATGTAAAAAATCAATTGCATCCATGACATCTGAAGGCAACCCATTCCCCAAAAAGCTGATGGATTGGACATTTAAACATTGATATATTATTATTTAAATTATTCAGTGTGATTTACTTGTTGCTGTTTTAATAGTTAAAATTCCTTTCATGATGCAACTGATATGTTGTAAAAAAAAGAAAGGAATTATTTGAGCACATTGAATATTTCTCCATATTTTCTCAACTGAATGCTTTGAAAATATACATGTACATGTATATATGTGTATATAATTTAAGGACAACAACAGACCCACTGACTCCCTCATTCTGTCGACTAAACTAAACTTTTAAATAAAAAATAAAACACCCAAGACCAACCCTTATCATTCAAATATCTATCAAGCCTTCCCTTAAACTCTTTTGAAATAATCAATTTGATACATGTACTTGTGTAATTTTACATGTAAATTTATAATGTGTTGCACAGTGGATTTTTGAGGAACTTGAAAACCTCTATCATGATATGTTTGTTTATTTCTTATTCTAAGTGGATAACGATAAAAATGTATGTAATAATACTTTCACATTATTGTAGGTTCATTATTTCATCCAGTATGTCAATTGGCTGTTGACACACTGATCTCCCATTAACATCAGTACGTCTTGATGGAGCCATATTCTTAGAAAGAGATTCTCTTACATTATCAGATGAGAGGAGGGAAAACATTAAGGGACATTGATGGAAATGAGAATGTGGAAGTGATTGTAGCTTATAGTCTGGAATAGGAAGGGTAGAAAGAGTATCTGCAAAATTACTCATTTCCACATCAGTTTGAATGACAGAATTTATGCCAAGACCTTGCACAGGATGGTTGTGAGGAGCAACAAAATGTTTAAAATAATGAGTATTTCTAATAATTTGGTCTTTATGTACACATGGCCATTCATGTTTAGATGAATGAATATGTGGAACTGCAACATAGTCATTTCCTGAGTAATAAGATTTGGCTCCAGGTTCTGAATATACATCTTTTTCTGGCCACTCTTTTTTGGATGGAATTTTCTGTTGCATTAACAATAATTCTTCTTTCTTCTTCTTAAGAAACATTTCCCATTCTTCTATCAATTGATCCACTCCACGCCAATTTGGATCTCCAAAAATAATATCAAATGATGTAACTGCAGTTGGAGGTTTAGGAGGTTCATCAAATTTTTTCCTACTTGAATCTTCATACATGTGAATAGGGGATATTGTTTGTGCTGGTGGTTTGTAGGTTTGGGAAAATTCATGATCAGATGAATATTTAATACCATCATCTTGTGCTGTGGCCTTAGAAATAGATTCTTTAGAAATTGTGCCATGAGATATAGCTAGTGGGAAAGTGGAAGATCTTGATAAGTATACAAAAGTTTATTCTCAAGTCAAATTGCATTATAGTTCTTCTAAAGATAAAACTGAAGTTAGTGAGGTCCCCAAACGTTCATCCCAGTAATAGAATCTTTAGAAATTGTGCCATGAGATATTAACTGGGATGAACGTTTGGAGACTTGACTGACTTCACTCTTATCTTCAGAAGAACTATCATCCAATTTAACCTGAGCAGAAAGTTTTCCATGTTTGTCAACATCTTGTGCTGTGGCACTAGCAACAGATTCTTTAGAAATTATGCCATGAGATATAAACTGGGGATAGTTCTTCTAAAGACAAAAGTGAAGTCAGTCAAGTCTCCAAACGTTCATAATCCAATTTAACCTGAGCAGAAAGTTTTCCGTGTTTGTCAACATCTTGTGCTATGGCACTAGGAATAGATTCTTTAGAAATTATGCCACGAGATATAAACTGGGATGAACGTTTGGAGACTTGACCGACTTCACTCTTATCTTTAGAAGAACTATCATCCAATTTAACCTGATTAGAAAGTTTTGAATGTTTATCGATATCTTGAGCTGTGGCACAAGGAATCGATTCTTTAGAAATTATGCCATGAGATATAAACTGGGATGAACATTTGGAGAATTTACTGAGCAATTTAACCTGAGCAGAAAGATCTGAATGCTTGTCAACTCCATCAAGTCTCTCTGTAGTATATTTTCTTGATGAAACATCATAAGATATTGACGGAGATGAAAGTTTAGAAGCTTCATGAAACTGAGTTTCTACTCTGGAAGTGACATTATGCAATCTGGTTTCAACTAAAAGTTGTGAGGGCTTATCAATTTTATCTT